TTTTTTTAATTTTTTTATATTGGTTAATTATATAAATTAGAAGGTAAAAATTTTTAATAAATAATTATAAATTTAAGATCAACTTGAAATTTAAAATGAATGATTTCTAGTTAATCTAACGATTTATTTTTTTAATTATTTATTATAATAAAAATTATAAGTATAAAAGTTGAAAAATTCTTATATTGGTATTAGTTCGACGGACTCTCATATGTATATTAATTTATGATAATTAACGCAGGTGGCATTTTAAGATGCCGAGCATCATGGAAGGATGTATATTGATCTTGTCCAGAGCTGGCACGGGCACTGCAATGTTTAACATGGGTAAGATTAATTATTAACAGTTTAATTTTTTAATTACTGTTGTAATGTCAAAGTAATTTCAAGGAGATCAAAAGCTTTTGTGATTATACTATATTTTTTTCATCACCATGACCTCTCTTTTCTTAAATCTGTCTTCACCTCTTAATTAAGATTGGAGCTTAAAATGTGTGAGTTTTATTCAGTTGACATATTTTAAGGTAAAATAAATATAAACTACAACGTTTAGAGAGTTTTGAAATTGTTGGCTTGAGCATGGACTTCAGCCCAATATATAGTTAAAGACTTGTTTTGCAATTTTTAAATTGTTAAAACATGTCTTTCAATTACTAAGGGGCAAAATTACTAAGAGGCATACTTAAAAGTTGCAATAGAAGAAGACACTTTCTTATGGTGTCTATTTGACAAAAGTTTTGAAATGGAAAGGTGCCTTTGGGCAATAGTTGCTAACTAAACGTATGTTTGGTAGAGGAAAACTTTCCCTCTTAAATTTTTTTAAACTTTTTTTTACAAGATTATTTTTATATTTTTACATATTAATACTACAATAAAATAATTTTTTAGCCTTTATTTTCTCTAACACAATTCTCAATTCATAAATTTTTCTTTCCACACTTTTGGAAAGAAAAAAGTTTTTCTCCATCTTCCTATATGTAGAACTCACTTGTCAATTTTCCTACCGACTTTCCCTATACCATTATCTTACCAAACACAAAAAGAAGTTAACAACCAGCAAAATTCTAACAAAATTTTACTATAAAACTTATTAACTTTCCATTTAATAATTATCAATTTTTTATATAATACTTTTCTAATAAAATTAGCCTCTAATCAAACAAATGCTAAAGGTGCAATGGTAATTTGGGTTCTATGAAAAGGAATGGGCATAATTCATTTTCGCAATGGCAATCCATCCAAGTGATTTCTTAGTATATGTACTTGAGAGAGTTTAGTTTTAAGTTTTATTGCTTTTTGGAAGCATTTTATTGTTTTCAGAATAAAGATTTCGTTCACGCCTAAAAATCTCTTCTTTTGTCTGGCAGGGATCTTCATGGCTTTGCAGGAAAAGTTGATAGCCTGCGGCACAAGCTTGACTATTTTTGGGATGGTTTTGAAGTTCATTGCAGGACCTGCGGCTATGGCAATTGGCGCCGTTGCTGTGGGCCTGCACGACGACGTTTTGCGGGTCGCCATCATTCAGGTACGTACAACTTTTTTATAAAAATGTGTTTTAGTCTATCACTCGAATAATCATCTCAAATATACATGCAAATGGTATACTGTTCAACTTAGATACACAGGGTAAGACATCGGATTTAAGGATAACGTATCTGACCAATTAAAACTGTTTGTGCCTAAATGGTGTTTGTACACATACACATATATGTTGATACATTTGATGATGTTATATGAAACAAAAATGCATGCTTTAATTGCAGGCAGCATTGCCACAATCAATTACATCCTTCATCTTCGCCAAAGAATATGGGTTACATGCAGATGTCCTTAGTACTGCGTAAGTTAGTGAACTTCATCGGTTTAAATTTTGATACGAATAAGAAAATACTTTTCTAAATACATACATTTAAGAAAAAAAAAAAGTTGGATTGCTTAATTAGTAGACTTATATTTTATAAAAATTTCTCAGGGTCATCTTTGGAACCATAGTGTCCCTTCCGGTAATGATCGCTTATTACGCAGTTATGGAGTTGGTACATTAACCACTTTACTATTGTGAAGGAAAAAATAGTATAGTGCACGTAATACTCCTCCTCAGTTCAACGAAGGTCTTTGAGATGATGTATATGCCTGTCTTGTGTACTAGCTGCCCAAAATTTCTTGTAGGCAATGAATTTGTGAAAAAATCTGCAAGAATATTACTTGTACTGATCTGTTAGACGTCTATTTCACAAGTGTTTTTGAGTTCACGTGCATTTTGGTTCTTATCTGTTTTCTTGTGCATCGTAAGAAAAATATCTAGCTATCTGGCAAACCCCTACCTTGAGTCTCTTATCTTGTGAAGCCTTCCTTTTTTCATTTTTTTTTTTTCGCGCGCTTTTCTTGTGACTAGATTCGAAGGCATATGGTTGTGGCTTGAACTCTTCTTGGGCAACAACTAGAAAGATTAAGACGGTTTTAGTTGGCAATGAAAGAGAGATGACTCGAGCTAGTATATCATGGGGGTACTAATCTCCCTTAAGGATAGTATTTTTATGGATATGATCGGACTATTTCTGAGTGGGGATTGTTATTAGCTTAAGTGTATGGTCTCGCCATGATGTTAGTATTGTAGTTGAGAATATCTAATAGTTAAGGATATATATTTGCAGTGAATTTTTTTATTTCTATGTTACTACCTCTATTTATGCTCATATAGTGATTGTTAACGTAATTTTGAGATGCAAATAACTGTCTATACTTAATTGTCTATATTAATTTGCCATAAGCATAGTATAAGTTTATTTTTAGAGCAAATAATAATTAGTACATACTTTGGTCCAACACATTCTTCAAAAAATCATTATTTTTTGGTCTAAAAATAAAAGCAAACAAACTCAAAAATATAATCATGCATATAGAATACAAGAACCGGTTAAATCGATTATATTTATATTATAGTTTTAATGGTTAAATCATTAGACGGATGTAAAAAAAGTGTGTTAAACTGATTATATACCAATCATTTTCCTTTTCAAGTTGTAGGATATGCTTAAGCTTTAGTTATTTTGATAGAATCTCTATTTCTTATAAAAATAAGTCAATATATTACATTTGGACAATGGTTGGTGCATTTTTTGATTTAATATACTTCACAACATACTCATTAAGAAATTATTATTTTCAAATTTGAATTTAAGGTAAGAAAAATTTTATTTGCAAAATTTAATTGCTAAACTGATAGGTGTTAATAGGTATGTTGACTTAAAGATGTATCAATCATTACCTATTACATTTATAATAGGAGAAAGTGTTTCTCAACTAGACTTCTAAAATTAAGAAAAATGTCCAAAATTACATTGTTTTAATAGACTTACATTGAAAAAGACTAAAATAACTTATTTTAAAGGTGGGGATGTGATTGTTTGTCTTTTTTTTCATAATACTTTAATTAGATGATGTAATTTAGAGTAATTTTTTCTTAATTTCTTAAAGTTTCAGCTAATAAAGACTAACTT